CCAGCCTCTTCGTGGGGGCTGTGCTCTGCCTCAAGCCCCCCAGGGTGGCTCTGGCCCCGCTGCCTTGCCCACCCCTCCCGCAGCTCCTGGTACAGCTCCTGGTGCTCCTCCTTCCAGCACCGGAACCTGTCCGAGGTGAGCACATCCTCTCCCAGCAGCTGCTCCAGCGCCTGCAGCTCCACCAGCTTTGCCTGCCAAGAGCCAGGAGCTTGTTTTGGGGTGGTGACCCATGGGCAGAGGGTTTGGGGGGTCAGGGGGCTGTGGGTCCCACCTTGAGCGTGCTCTGCAGGGCTCTCACCGCGTGCACCCTCTCGTTGATGTGAGGGTTCTTGTTGCGCCGCAGGAAGGATTTTCGGCACTGCTCCTGCGTCAGGATCCGTCGCTGCCCGATGAGGGACACCCCTCCCTGCTTCAGGCACTGCATCAGGCTCTCCAGATCTTCCCCAGAGGGGTCTAGGTGAGGAGAGAGGGCACTGGAGCAGGAGGACAACCCCAAAATCCCCTGGGGCTCCCCTGCATATAGCCCTGCCCCAAGAGCCGCAGGAAGGATTTTCGGCACTGCTCCTGCGTCAGGATCCGTCGCTGCCCGATGAGGGACACCCCTCCCTGCTTCAGGCACTGCATCAGGCTCTCCAGATCTTCCCCAGAGGGGTCTAGGTGAGGAGAGAGGGCACTGGAGCAGGAGGACAACCCCAAAATCCCCTGGGGCTCCCCTGCATATAGCCCTGCCCCAAGAGCATGGAATACTGGTTTTGCTGGAGCAGGAGGACAACCCCAAAATCCCCTGGGGCTCCCCTGCATATAGCCCTGCCCCAAGAGCATGGAATCACAGACTGGTTTGGGATGGGACCTTAAAGTTCATCTCATCCCATCCCCTGCCATGGGCAGGGACACCTTCCACCAGCCCAGGTTGCTCCAAGCCCCTTCCAGCCTGGCCTGGAACACTCCCAGGGATGGAGCAGCAACAACTTCTCTGGGCAACCTGTGCCAGTGTCTCACCACCTCCAGAGGGAAGAATTTCTTCCCAATAGCCAATCTAATACTTCCCATCTTCAGTTTAAGGCCATTCCCACTACATGCCCTTGTGAAAAATCCCTCTCCATCTTTCCTGTGGGTTCCCTTTACCCTGAGATGGTTCACATTCAAACACATCCCAGCTCGAGTTACCCCCCAGCACACACACACACAAAAGGGTTAGAGGGTGACAGATGTCACCCCCAGCACCTACCCATGGGGGAGCAGGGCCGGGGGCTGCCCTGGGGGCTGCTGGCTGCACTGCTGGGCTCACCACTGGCCAGGGAGAACAAGGCTTTCTCTGGGGTATTCAGCCTCTTCCTTGGCTGAGGGAGAGACAAGGTGGGAGGTGAGATGAGAAACCTCCATCCCCTCCCTGGGCTGTCCCCCTGGGTCACTCACCGAGTCACATCCATGCTTGGGAGACTCATCCTCAGGGTCCTCAGCTTCTGTCTCACTGTAGCAGTCTGGAGACCACAGGGGAGGACAGTGGGAGTGGGAAGGCCTGGGCTGCCCCCAAGGGCTGAGCATCACCCCAGGACCCTCTCAGCGAGTGTTTCTCACATTCCCCCCAAATCCCACAAAGCAAGGCAAAGCTCCCAGTGGTCCCATGCAGGGGCTGTGGCACCAGGCACAGTGCCCCACTAGGATCCCAGCTCCCTGCAGGGTCCCCATCTCCCACCCTGGGAAGGACTCATTACCTTCCTCCTTGTCTGGGACTGACTGGTGTGCCAGTGTGTACTTTGTTTTGGCTGTTATGAGGTGACTGACCCACCTGGGGAGGGAAAGGACAGACAGACAGGTGGAGGAAGGTCCTGGCCAGCTTGATGTGGCAGGACTGGCACTAACTGGTGATGGCAGGCACATTACTCACATGCTCAGGTCAGCCAAGGTTTCAGCAGCAAAGATGAAGGGCTTGTACCTCTGGTGGCACAGCTGGAACACACTGAGGAAGACAAGGAGGCTGCTGCCTGTGCTGCTGTGGTGACACAGAACCAGCCCCCTGCAGCCTCCCCAGCATTGCAGCCCCCCATCCTGACCCATTCCAGGGGTCTGGGCTTCTCTGTGCCATGGGAGACACTCTGGTCCTCAGCTTCAGCCCAGATAACACAGCCAAATCTTGTGTTAGGTGTGTGGGTGTCTTGCTCAGAGTGTGGGCAGAGTACTGCAAGGTGACCAGTCTTGTGGGGACCCCAGCAACCCTGCAAGGACACCGTCAGGCCCACAGAGACCCCACCAGCCCCATGGGAACCCCTCCAGCCCCGTGGGGAGATGCAGGTGGTACCCAGCATGACAGCAGGACTCATCACCATGAATTCTTCAGGCCAGCATCCCCCTCCCTCCCACCACCCAGGAGATCCACGGTAGGACAGACCCTACTCACTATTTCTTCTTCTGCTCCCTCGTGCTCTCCAGGTCATAGGTGGCCACGTTGATGAGTCCTACAGCCTTCTCATCCTGTGAGGAGGGCAACAGCCACGTCTACCACCACCCTGGGAGATCCTGGCTGCCCCAGGTGGGGGGGTGAGGACACCCAGTGCTCCCACTCACATTGGGGTGGTTGTACCAGTACAGCGTGTGGCTCTTGAGCACAAACCAGCACCTCTTCCACTTCTGGGCCATGAAGCCCACGTGGTCCTTCTTCTTGAGGAGCCAACCATCGCAGTCCACCCGGCCCAGGTCCCGGCACGAGACCCGCCGGCGGCTCAGCCTGGTCGCCACTCCTGCCAGCACAGTGTTGGGGGTGTCAAGAGCAGGGAAAGGGGGAGCAGAGCCCCCCAGGAGAGCCCCCAGCCCTGTTCTCCCCAGCCTGGCAGGGTCCTGCTCACCTTTTGGTCTGCGTCCCGTCCGGGGGCTGCCCTGGATGGGGAGGCAGAGACAAGAGGTTAGAGACAACACTTCAAGGACAGGGCAGAGTTTGCTGAACCCCCAGCAGCACCCACAGCCCTAAGAGACTCCACTTAGGGACACCCAACTCACACACCCACAGCAGGAGCTCAGAGGGGAACCCACTCAAGCGTTTTGCCTCCCAGCTCAGGTGAGACACATCACTGACCCTCACTGACCCCCTGGCAGTGTCTCCCCACTCCAGCTCTCACCTCCTCAGGGACCTGGCTGGGCTCTGCACCTCCAGCCCCTGTGATGGGGCTTGCTGTGAGGCTGAGCTCTGTGGTGCAGGGTCCTGTGGCAGCAGGGATGTCTGGAGAGCTTGGGGTGCCCAGAGGGGTGCCCAGGGGGGTACCACTCTCCCACGACTCCTCTGCAGTGCCTGTGAATAGCAAGCAGGGATGCAGCCTCCTGTCATGGGAGGAGGACTCTGCTCTGTCCCCAGACCCCCCTCTGCTCCCCTCCTACCTCCTACGTGTCCAGGCAGCCCTGACAGCTCCTCCACAGCTGCCCCAGGCAGCCTCAGATCCTGCTCGTCCTCTTCCTCCTCCTCGTCACTGATAGGATCTGGCGCAGAGTCTGGCCCCGAGTCCAAGTCAGCAGCAACACTGAGGGAAAATGGGATCTCTGAGCTGCAAAGCCCCTTCAGCCTCTGTGGGGGTCCCACTCTCTCAGCCTCCTGTTCTCCCTGCCTGGGGAGTGGGGCTGGAGGGGTGGCAGGGGCTCAGGAGGCTCCTGCCTGCGCTGGCGTTGGCTCTCCTCACGCCTTTCCATTCCGGGAGAGGAGAAGGGTCATGTCTAAATATAGTCTCAACCCCATCAAAATGTTACCAAGTGAATGAATTACAAACACAACCACTTTTTTTTTTTTTCTCTGTAAAACTACTGGCAGCTTCCCAGACTGCTCATTGGGAGCTGTCACACTGCTGGCACCTCTCCTCCCAAAAAAACAAAGAGGAAAGGGGCATCGAGTGCACCCAAACATCTCTTTGCTGGCTGGGTTTGGGGTGTCAAGGTGTTGGGATGGGGCTCACCTGGAGGTCAGGGACACAGGGCTGCCTGGGCACTTGTCATTCCTGGTGCTGGGAGACTCCACAGCATCCGAAAATGCTCCTGGGAGCTGTGGATAGAGTGTCAGGGCCAGACCCATCCCACCACGGACCCCAGAGCTTTAGGGATCACCAGCATGATGGGAGATGCCTGGCTCTGAGCATCTCTGCCTGGTTCCAGCACAGCCCAGTGTGGCACTGGAGCTGTACTGGGAGCACTGGGATCACTCACCTGCTGCCTGGGAGAGGGAGGTGAGTCAGGCAGATCGAGAGGGATCTTCTTCAGCACCAGTGTCGCTTCATTTGCCTTCTCCCTCAGCTTCTTTGCCAGGTTGACACGTGTCCAACCAACCTGCCATGGTGAGACATGGGACATGGCCCTGGCCCCACACTGCCCCATGGGTCCTGCATCCCTCAAAACCTGCCCAGCCACAGATCCCACATCCCCCAAACCCTCCCCTGCTATAGCACCTGCATCCCCCAAACTCCGTGGCAGTGGCTTCTGTGTCCCCCAGACCTTTCCCAGCTCCTGCTTTCTGCAGATCACAACTCAATCCCCCCAAATCCTCCCAGCTGCAGGTCCCATGTCCCCCCAAAACTGTCCCAGCTGCAGTCCCCATATTCCCCCAGCCCTCCTGGCCTTGCAGCTCCCTGTCCATGTCTTTCCTGCAGAACCAGCAGCACCCTCGAGCCCCTGTCCCCTCTGACTCACCACGACCTGCTCATTGACCTGCACGATCTCGTCTCCGGGCAGGATGTGGCCCCCGTGGGCAGCCAGAGCCTGTGTAGAGGCAGGATGGGAGTGAAGTGCCCAGTCCTGGGGGCTTATACCCCCACCCCAAAGCTAATCCACACTCAAGATCTCTCCCGGATGGGGAGAACCAGGAGGGAGTTAACCATTAATCCAATTTTGCACGGCACCATGGTGGGATTGGGGTGCAGAGACCACAGCTCTAGGTCAGGGTTTGCAGATTAGGGACCTAAGAGGCTCAGTGGATCCGGTGGCAGGTACCAAAAGGGGGTGACTGAGGGACAGGGTGGCACAGGGAGGGGGTGACAGACAGAGAGAGACAGCACCTCACTCACCTCTGAGGGGGTCTCAGACACAAAGTGCAGGCAGGAGCTGGTGGAGGTGATCTCAAGGCCCTAGGAGGGACGTGAAGGAGGTGTGAGTGGGGTGCAGGGTGGTCCCTGGGCAGTGGTGGGCACGGGAGTGAAGGAGACTCACCAGTGGGGCAGTGAGGAGTGTCAAGGGGCTCCCTGGAGGGTCAGGGGGAGGCGTTGGGGTGTCAGGGGATGCTATCGGGGTGTCAGGGGATGCTGGGGGGCTCCCACATGGGCTGGGGAGCAGCGTTGGGGTATCAGGGGATGTTGAGGGGCTCTGCCACAGGCCAGAGGGCAGCGTTGGAGTGCTGGGGGACATTGGGGG